TACAATAGTCTGAAAAAATTTACACTTTATTAGGTACTCTACCTTTGTAAAAGTTAAAACTTAAAAGTATCAAATTTTTAGAAATATTCTCCTCTTTAACTATGGTTTGAATTAAATAATTAAATTTTTAATTTAAATTCTGTAGGTAAAATGTTGTACTTACATACTTTACTTGCCTATATGATAAATTATAATTAATATCATATGATGGAAGTCATAAGAATCATAGGAATGTAATGTTTTGCATATTTCAAAATTAATACACTTAATTAAAAACAATTAAAATTGATTTTTTATTTATTGATTTTTATAAATTAAGGATACTTTGGGGGGGGGGCTAAGCCTCCATAGCCCCCCCCCCCTCCCATATTTGCGCCGCTGGTTGTTACATAAATTTGTAAAACTCATAACATTTTATAACCAATTAAAAATATATAGTAATCACTAATCACTAATAATCTTTTTTTAAGTGTGGAAAACTGGAAAAGTATTCATGATTACAATAAATAATTAAACGTGATATTGACTAAACGAAGATGATACTATAGAGTGTCACAACCAATATAAAATATTAAGAATTCACTTTTGCATGTTAACGTATTAAAACAATAATATAGGTAATAAAGGGGATTTGTATGATGCCAGGGGCCTGGGCGTAAGGTTTCGAAACAGGTCACGCAAATTCACGCTAATTGCACGCTAATTATTGGCGTTAAAAAAAATACAAAAGTTTTTTTTTGTCGTCAGGGAGGGGTTGGCGAAATTGGTAAAAGGGGGCATAGCGCCTTGTACTCGGGGCTTTGGGCGTACGGTTTAGAAACAGGTCACGCAAATTCACGCTAATTGCACGCTAATTATTAGGATGGAAAAAAACCCCTTATTACTTAAAATTTGGTTGAGGGGGGCCTTAGAAACGTTTCTACAAGCCCCCTACCCTATTTTTACTTTTGAAGTTGATCTTGTGCATCGCAAATTTCAAAATTAGTCACGCCAATTCAAGCTATTTGTACGCTAAATATTTAACCAAAAAAATTTTGAAAATTGAAATGGGAGGGGGGGGGCTGGTGAAACGTACGTACTTTCTGCAACCTCAAAAATGGCGAGAAAAATGTAAAAATCTTCCAGCCAAAATTATTTTCCCTTTATTTTTATATTTTGATGATTTTAAGGTTAATAATCCGCTATAGGTTCACATGCTGGTAACCAAAAGTTCGGTGCAATTTAGCAATTATAGCTTGTATGCCTCCTGAATTATCGTCGTTGTTGGATAATATTTTTTTGGCGTCACTTTTTAAAACTGATGACAAAAAATATTTTGGGAATAATGTAATTTTTAAAGATTTAATTGCAGAGCTAAATTATTTAGAATCTGCCGGTATTTTCGTTACGGTTAATTATAAAGTTTACAATATTTTCTTCTCTTTGGGTTTAATTATAGACGATAACTTGGGGTTACATTCAATATTAGGATTTACGGAAAGTCTTGTGGCAAAATATCCGTAGCGATTTTGTAAAACAATAAAATATGAATGCTATGTAAAAACAATTCAAGTTGATACAAATCTTCGAAACCGCACAAATTATGACGATGATATCCTTCAGAAAGACATATCAATAACAAGAATTAAAGAACATGTGTGTGGAATCAATTAAATTAATTTCATGTAACGGAGAATTACTGTGTTGATATTATGCATGACATGTTAGAGGGTGTGTGTAATTACAATATTGGTTTAATGTTGAAAATTATGATTTTTGATTTGAAATACTTTTCAATCGATATTTTAAATAATAGAATAGAATTTTTTGATTATGGATTAATCGATATCCGAAGAAGACCAACTTTGATACTTGGCGAAACTTTAAAAAGTAAAGGTAAAATTAAAATGTCCGCCAGTGAAATGCTTTGTTTTGTAAAGAACTTGGGGTTAATTATTGGTGATTTAGTTCCCCGTAATTCCAAAATTTGGTCAATTTATATTATACTCGACAAAATTTTAAATATTATATTATCTAAGTGGACTAAAACTGATTTAATCACAGAGCACCACACTATATATATCTAAAAATATTTCGTACCAATTTAAAACCTAAACACCATCATATGAATCATTACCCACTAATACATAACAAATCTGGTCCACTATCATTATTTTGGTCAATGAGGTTTGAAGGTAAGCATAGAGAACTAAAAAATACAGCTAATTCGATAACTTCTAGCAAAAATATACAAAAAACATTATCGATTAAACCACAGTTAAGATTGTCATGCAGACTATTGTCAACTAAAAATAATTATTATACCATTCCGATCGAAATAGGACCATTATCGAAATTATTGCCAGTGGACATAGATTTGTATAATACATACTCCGGCAATTATGATTTGAATAACAGTGATGTATATTTTGTTTCGTGGGTAATTATCAATGGAGTTTCATATAACACCAAAAGTATGTCTGTAATTATTAATGTGTGTGATGAAAATAATGATTTATTACCTTTATTTGGATTGATTAAATGTATTTTTATTATAAAAAATGAACCATTTATTATATATAATTTATTTGATACTATTAACTATGATGAACACTTTGGTGCATTATATGGTAAAGTTTTCTTCCAAATTAAGTCATATAAAAATTAATGAATTAGAAAATATTTTTCCTGTTCACCATAAAAGTATTTCTAATGGAAATATATTTATAAAAAGGTTATTAAAAGTATAATATTATTCTATTTTACTATTAAACTTGTAACTATACATCTATATAAATGTTGTATCATGTTAATGTATTACACATCCTGTATTATACATTTACAATGAATATATTATTTTTATTTTAAATGTTATATACCTTCTTAATGTTTTTAAAAAAAAATATTTAAATATTTTACTTATCCATACAATTATCATGTATTAAATGTATTTAAATTATCAATAAAAAAAATTAAATGTGTATTAAAGCGGTTTTTTTTGATATTTTTTTTGTATCTCGCTTTTGTTATTAATCTATTAATCCTCCGATTGGTTTGCAATTGATTTAAGTTGTGCCTATAATCATTTTATTATTATATATATATATATAAAAAATAAACTTATTTGAATGGGAATTACCTACTGGTTATTATAAATAATAGTAAATAGATATTACTAAAAAAAAAATCAAATAGGAATAAGTACTACAATTTATAGTTGTAGTTGTTTCAAATTGTAGTTCAGTCAACTGTTTTTAATAGTAAACACTTATTTATTTTTAGTAATTGTCACTAAGCTCATAGTAGGGATAAATGTAAATATTGTTCAATCAAACTAAATTAAAACGTATTTAGCACTACAAAAATATAGTAAAAAAGACTGCATATTTCAGTTCGAATAACTATAATAACTTTACTATAATATTGTAGTAAATCTGACTAATCTTATAGCTACTATCCCTATAGCAATTATAAAATACAGTCAATCCTACTATTTTTATAGTACAAATAACTGTTATGTTTTTTCCGTGCGGATAGACGAGTTAAATTTTTATGACGTTAGATATTCATTCGATTTATCACAGAACGATTTTCTAATTTTGTTGTAATTGAATATGTATAACGAATCACAGTAAATGCTTAATATTTATACCAAATTCTATAGCTTGATAAAATTTTCGAAATATTTTGACTCGTTTTGATCTGTTTACGAACATTTTTAATTTTCAACTTTTTTAGTTTTTTTCTATAACCACCAAGAAAATTTTATTCATTGGACCAAAAAGCTTGAAAATTTAATAAAATAGGCTTCTCATAAGTTGTTATATAGCAGTTGAGAAATATTTAAGATCCATATGCACAATCAAAATCTCGAAAATTTAAAAACTTTTTTCTAGTCAAATAATTATAAAAAAAATCAATTTTTATAGCTAAGGATTAAAAATTTAAAACAAGGATTCTGTTTAACAGTACAAACTGTATCCAAAAAATCTTAAAAAACATAAAACATAATTTTTTGTTTACAGACATTTTAAGCTCAAATTTCAACGAAATTACATATTAAAACCAAGACCAAAGATTTTAGTTATTTTGTTGTACCTAATTTAAAAATATTATTTGTAGGTGCTTGAAACTTTTAGAGTATATTTTATAAGATTATATTTTATACACACCATTACATTTAGAAATACGATTTTTTTCGTCAAAAATGAATTTAACCTACTGTATAGTGTTAATGTCTAATAGTAAAATAAATATATTTAATCACAATAATATCATATAATATACTTTTGTAATAATTAATATTATAGGCTAAAGGATTGTCTTCGACCAGAATCGTTTTTGTATATAATGAATTTATATTATTATTGAATTCAAATTGAACACGTCCATACAAATACGTTTTAGTCTCTCTTGGCACCCAAATGTAGGTACAGTAGAGCGTTACCCACTTTCTCGCTTCTTTTTCTTCTTTAAAATTCTTTTAAAATGCTTAATTTATTTGAAAAATACAGGTGATTCGATGACTTACCTACTAGTTGAAAATTTAACAGTATGCATTGTCCAAATCGAAACTAAGCAGAATCTAAATCAACCTTAATCAGGCAATGCTGATAAACTGACAAAATATATTAAAAATGCAAACAGCTTCACATCTTAAGAAATGAAACATTTATCACATTTGATGAAAATTATCCTTTAATAAGTTTAGATATGTTGCAGAATTTTAATGAAAAACGATGTGAATCTTATATAAGACTCACTAGTAATAAAATGTTCTATAAATATTTGAAATGCTGTAAAAGAAAATTAAGTGTAACTTTTAATTTACTATTTGCATTAGAACAAAAAAGTAAATATTTCGGAAAACATTACTAAGAAAATAATGTACTTCTGTTAAAAAAGTTTTTACTAAACCAGTTTCCGACAAGATGGATTTTGTTTTTTTTTTGTAATTCAAAAATGTACAAATTACTATAAATACTTGATATTTTCACTAAATATGTATTAGCCTTTAGTACCTACATTACTATTATAGCTCTAGGCTGAGCGTCTGAGCAACTATTAGAGTGAACTACCCAATTTTTAAATAAGCATTTTCTGTACATGATAACATTTAAAAAATATTTTACTCTTTCTGAGCTTCGTGAGCATTTTTTCCAAATTATTGCTGATAAACAATTTTTTGCTCGGTTAAAAACTTGAAAATGCAACGCAATAAGGTTCCTTACGTTGTTGTATTGGTGTAATTTTTTTTAAAAAAAGGTTAAGCTTAATTCACATTTATTTTTATTGAATTTTTAAATCAGTACTTTAAAATTTTATGCAATTTATATATATTATATAGTCTACTATTAGAGATTAGAATAACGTATTAATATAGATAACTTAAATACTAAATAAATATTATTTTTTTCACACAAGTTGTATAATTTATTTGTTGCCTATAGTAACACGTGTGTGTATAATATTTCTACCTAATGATTTCAAATTTTGTAAATTTTCAAAAACGCATTTTATTTCTGAAGGACACATTTTAAATGGAACACAATTGCCCGTTGAATAAAGTTCAACTCGGTAAGTAAATTATCGCATTAATATGAATTGAGTTGAATTAACAATTGTTATTTCACAACAGTTAGCAAGTTTGTCAATATACGTTTAGATGATTGTTTTTAAATATCTAGGCAAAATATCGAAAAATTAGTATATAATTAATGAAAAATATTATTTTTTAATCATAAGAACGATTTATAGGTGTCAAGTAATGGTGCAAAATACTTCAAAGCACGTTTTGCAGGGTAGACTTTCCTAACTTTTCTTCATTGTATTATGGCCAATCACTTCTTGACTTTATTCCTTATAAATTATAATAATATCTAGATTCACACTTAGGTACCCCAAAATTGATATTGGAATATTGCTAGTGGGACGAATCTAATGAAGATAATGTAAGGAATAAAACCCAGTCTAAAGATAAATTAAAAACATTTTTACACACTTCAGAACAGATTTTATAATGTTTGAAATAATGAAATATTTTTATCTATAGGATATCATACCTGGAATTTGCTTCATACTATGGTGGCAAACTATCCAGACGAACCTTCACACCAAGAACAGGAAGATGTACACCAATTTTTTAAACTACTCGGCCGTCTGTATCCTTGTCAAGCATGTGGTCGTGATTTTTCTCATCTGTAAGTTACACACATATAATTTTATGATGCTGTAGAACTTATTTGTTGGTTGGTAGGTACCTTATGTCTTATGTGCCATTAATATTAATTTTAATATTTAGATCAGAATATTTATATATATAGATCAGAATAAATATATATATATATATATATATTTATAGATCAGAATAAATCAGGGGCGGCTTCTGAGACATGGTTGGGGGAGGGGGGGGGCAAGTCATAATTTTCAGAAAAATGTCTCTATTATAATAGGTTTTTTTTGTCATTTTGTAGTTAACAATATGACATTTTTAAGAAATACAGGCTGGGAGGGCCTAGGGCCACCCTTGAAATAAATATGCCTGATATGCCTAGTAAACATTTACATTTTTCAAGTATACTGATCTAGCTTTTTCGTTCATAGGTTAACCCAACGACCACCAGTAACTAACTCTCAGAATACATTATCTGAATGGCTATGTTCTGTACACAACGATGTGAATCAAAAAATTGGAAAACCATTTTTCAATTGTAACAAAGTAAATGAAAGATGGAGAGATGGATGGAATGATGGAAGCTGTGATTAAAATATAAATGTATAATATGTGCTTATTATATAATTGTTTTATTAGATACATAAATATTGTAACATATTATTTATTTTTAGATTTCAAAATACAGTTTGAGATTTTAAGCTGTATGTTAGAACTTAGAAGCGTTGTCATAAACATTGTACCTAAATACTAAATAGAAAGCTCAATAGTTTTATTTATTTCACATAATCAAATTAATTAGGTATATAAGAACGCCTATAGTTAAATTTTAATGGATGGTATTTATTGGTAAACAGTACACACTGAATAGAAAACATGCAAAATTAAATAATAATTAAATGTCCATCTATTTTAGTTACTAATTTTGGAAATATTTTTTTATATAAAATTACTACCTACTACCTATTGTCGTATATGCACTTTTCAAGTGATATACCTCTATACCGACGTTTGAGGCGCCAAAAGACCATAAATTAACCGGTTACAGTTTGGCTCTCAAAAGTCGATATCGTTACTTTACTGCTTAGACTTTTCAATCCTCAACGACCATGAATTAACCGGTTACAAATTGGATTGAAAAGAATACAATAACGTAAGATTACCTTTACCGTTTAAACCTGAAATCCTCAACGACCATAAATTAACCGGTTACAGATTGGATTCAAGGAGTACGGCAAATTGTGTGACTACTCAAACAGAACAGATAATTTTTGGGGGTCGGAAACACTTTTTATTGAAAATGAACATAAATAAAACACTTAAACTAATTCGGATCGCCTAGCCCGTATTACGACCGCCACCAGAAGGTCGTCGTACCCGCGTCCTCGCGGAGCGACACTCAGCGACGACCCGACCTCTCGTGCCTGCGCTTACGGCGACGTTATATACAAAATATTATTGTCGCCTCAGCACATTTAGCTTCCTAGGCTTGACCTATCCTAATATCTTAATTGCTAAAAATATTCCTACCTAAGTAAAATAATTATACCGACGACTGTCTACAATATACGACACTATATACCTATACCTACTGTATATTTCATTAAGACAATAATCAATGTATTTTTTTTTTAGTCTGTTTTCAGGCATCAATTTTTGTAGCAGTTAAAATGCTTCATAACTTTGAGGGTGATTTTAGGTAGAATTTCTATCCAATTGATACTTTGGCATTAGGGAATCAAGAGTAAAAAATTGCTAGTAATTTTCGAAATTGTCTGGAAAAACTTTCAAAAAGATAACGAAATATCAAATTTTTCTGCAATATTTTATGACTATATACAAATGTTATAATTTGTATTCATTAAAGTACAATTGTCATTATTTTTTAAGCTAATGTGGAAATATGTACTTATTAATTTCGTACAATTATAACCAGTTGAATATTATGTTAATATTATCAACAAAACGGTTTCGTCAAAAATAATTAGATACGGTAATTAGTAGGAATATTTATTTTTTTTATAATTTATTTGTTATAAAACGAAGGCTAATAATATTTGTAGTTTAATGGAAGCTCAGGTATTTCAAAAAGTTGTGGAGGTTCGGGGCCCTGAGCGTTAGGCATCATACAAATTGGGATTGCACTTTTTACCTAAATTAAATGGTCGAACTGCACTCGAGTAAAAAAAAGTAATGATAGAACTGAACTATTGTTCAAAAAAAATGTTGAACAAAATTGTATTTCAATGAAAGCTATACAGTTATTTTTGATATGATTTAATAAGCACGAAGAACCACGTCATTTACCTTGAAAAATTATTTCAAATTCAGCAAAAAGAGAAAAGTAGCTAACCAATTGGTATTAGACTATTAAAAATTATTATGGAAAATATTGTCAACGGTTCTGCAGAACTCACATATTTATTTGATAGTTGCAACATAAATAGAATACGAAAAAATATCAACTATGAACATAAAAAAACTATCAGATTTTACCAAAATCTCTTGACACTCATGATACTATCAACAAATTACAAATTAAAAGAAATATACTCACAACATAATAATATTTTCACCCAAAAAATATTTTAAATATATTTATGAAAAAACAATTATTTTTGTGGATTGCGTGTTTTCACATTGCCTGAAGTTGTTTTTATCAAATGTTCACACTGCATACAGTTCACAGTTATTATTACGAGTACCTGCGTACCATTAATCCGTATTTTGCTTCCAAATAAAACTGTAGATACGTATAAAAACATGTTTAAATTAATTTGTGAAAAATGCAATGAATTAGGCTTGATATTTAAGCAAAATTTATTTGTAGCGGCAAGCAATTCATTATGCTGTCTATGAAAATGAAATGTTTCCTCTATGTATATAAATAATAGGTTGTAGATTCCATTTATCTCAAATATGGTGTCTCAAAATACAGAATTTGGGCCTTGTTACTGATTACGAATCTAAAACAGAAATTGGAAAATGGCTTCGTAGAATATTTGGTTTAAGTTTTTTGAATTCAGTTGAAATTGGCGAATCTTATACAAGTGATTTAATGTCAACTGCTATACCAGAAAATAACGCTGTTCAAGAATTTAGTTATTATTTAGTAGATAATTATATATCTAATGAGGCACTTTTTTTCGCATCCAAATTTGGACATCGAATTCGATTTCTAGTCAAAGGACTACAAATTCACGTGAGTCATTCTCCGCAAAGTTTAACAAATTATATTCGTTCCACATCCAAATATATATGTGTTAATTTGTTTGTTTCTTTTAACACAATTGCAAATAGATACTTATATTTCAATATATAATACTGACACAAAACCTTCACAAGACACTGACAAAGATTAGAGTTTTTGAAATCAGTTTCTTATAATTACTACAAAATATAATTAAAAATACAAGATATAATACTAATTTGACAAGTTTAAAAAACGTTTTTAAAAAAAATATTACACATTTATCACATTTACTACATCATAATATGTATATTAACTATAATTAACATAATTATATATATACAATAACTCATTTTTAACCACACCTATGATTAAAATCATTGTCAATCCTAAGCCTGTAAGTGGGAAGGGAAATGATTTGACCCTTTTTGAACTCGAGTTCAGTTCCAAGATAACCTGCTTTTAATTATAGTGCAGTTTTATCATTACCTATATTTACCCGAGTGGCCGAGTGCAGTTCGACCATTACCTTTCTTCAACCCAAGTATAATTGGACTAAAATAAATGCGATTCAACCTTACTCATACAAATCGAGGCTGGTTTATATGGTCCATATTTTGTGTCTAAGGTACACCCTTTATTAATTTCTTGATCCACCTCTGCTTTTGTGTAATGTTTGGTTACAATTTAATTTTATCCAAACCACAAACTTCACAATTTTGTCTAGGTATCTTTTAATTTTGAGTTGCCGTTCACAAACAATTGTACCCAGATTTCCAATTGGTGTTTTTAAAATCTGATTTGGAAGTATCATTACTATATTTGACATTTAGAAAGCAATATTTTTTTAGAAATGCTAAAATACCCATTTTAAGGGTTTCCCATAAATATTAAGATTACTTGAGATTCTATTTTTTGTTTTCACGTTTCATACAAATCAATGATGGCCAATTTATTGAGCTAATTTTTGTAAATATTTCAAGTTGAATTATTTATTTCAATTATTATTCTATATTCTGATACATATTTAAATAATAGTAATATGTTTGTAGTGTAATTTTGGCAGGAGATGGGCATAGATAGTAATATTAATATAATATTAATTACTATTAATATTAAATATATGTATAATAACATTTATGTATTTATTATAAATAGGTGTTTGAGTGTATAAACGAGAACAAACACGATGAGACACTCAAACTCAGTACATTTATTATATATTTAATAATATTTTAAAGTTAGCATCTATATCACTTTTTACAGTAAGCACTTTACAAGCATCTGCTACAACTGTTGCTTATATAAAATAATATACGCAAGACACAAGGGACCGTTCAACCGTTGTGAATCGTGGGTGTACCTATTTGTTGTGCGTGTAGCGGAGGTTTTCGTCGACAGATTTATATTTTTGACAAAAAATCGATTTACCCCAGTCGCAAAATGTATACTTGTTTACTTAGCCGCCCACCCGTCATGCGTTCGCAACATAATGTATATATATATACCTTTATACATACATACATTTACTATACATGGTGGTTCGTCAATATTTAATAATAATATGATCGTCGCGTACTATTATTATAACAGTAGCCCATACATAACACTATTCTACGCGCATGTTAAATATCGCTTCGACATTTTAGAGTGATGGTCGCACGCATTTCGTTGTAAATCCATGTATTGTATACATGAAGCAGAGGCCAGGGACTTAGAGAGTTAAATCAAACTAAAACAAGTTTCCTCGTAATTCGTATGATAAAACACATTTTTAGAACAATTGATAAAATTGACGATACATTTTTTTGTGAAATGTTTGGAATTTTTCTTTAAGCAATAAGTAATAACAGTGGTGATATTGATAATGAGTAATGACTAATAATAAATACAAATGTATAATACCCATAAGAACTTAAAACCAAGTTATAAGTTTGTAAAATATATTAAAAACCACCAACTCCCATGAGAACATAGATCCATATCCAATATCCATATACCTAATGATGTTCCATATTTAAATTTGTGAAAAGGTCGATTTACTCTCAACATTAAAAGAGTGTTACAACATATTAACATTATTAATATTAAAGTACCTATTTTATTGTTGATGTGTATAATTATAAATAATACAGTGAAAACTGTGTAATGCCGATCCTGAATAAAACGGAAAACTATCCAATACGGAATTTTTTTATGGTCTCGGCATTTTCCTATAGATTTATATAGACGCCGGGCCTCAACGAAACAGAACCTTCCTAACGCGGAAATAGGACAATTTTGTAGGTCCAATGCAAGTAAAAATCTTGCATAAATCGGAAATATGACACGAGGCACGTTGCGTTGATGTGAGTATGTATAGGTACCTACATCGTAAAACGAAAATTAAGATAAACTGCACTACATAAGATAATTCGTATTTTTGGTTATCGTATATCTGCGATACAAACTTATCCCATATGTACAGCTGTGATACAGTTGTGCACCAAAAATTTTACACTGAACAGTGAATCAAAAATAAGTTAAGTATATAAAGTATTAAAGTAAAGTAATACATTAAATTTATAAATAGTCTCTAACTCAAAAATAAAAATTATAAATGTTACGTAAGCTAATTTTTAAATATGAAAAATGTAAACGAATTTATAATTAGGAATTTTTCTTTTCTATTCAATAAAGCGGAAAACTGCTTAAAGCGGAATTTTCGGT